AGAGAAGGCAAGGAGGAACACAGACCTTCAGGAAGCCAGTTGACAGGAAGGAGTATGGTTGGCTAGGCAAGGCAGGGAAATAGATTACTTTTGGAATTAATTTAAGGTTAAATGGATCAAAAGAGAGAGAAGGGTTACCGGACCATGGGCTGTGCTGTTCAAGTGGGTTTGTGTCATTTTATTCCTGCAGTCCCAGTGGCCACTGTCCATAGGTAAGAAAAAGCCAAAGGCCAAGAAGATTCCTGTGGGTAAATCCATGAGTTTTCCATTCCATGGCTGAAGCTGTGAAAATGCAGAAAGCACAGGGAGTGGGGTGGCAGAAGAAAAGGAAGGGTAGGGAAGGACTCTGTGTATTTTTTTCTCTGAAGGGATTAATTTGAGCTAAAAGTCACCCTGCAAATTGAGAAGCAAAAATGACAAATAGGGACAGACCGAGGTGGGAGCTGCATCAAGACCTGGTGGATGTTATGCCCAATCATGCAATCTAAGATACAGGCTAAGGTGATGGTGCAGCTTTATCAGCACGAATGACTTCCAATCGCAGAAGCCACAAGTGAGTTAGGCGGATCCTCCCGAACCCCCGCCAAGCACAACTGTCCGTCCCCCGCTGAACACCGGTGTAATTGGGGGCGGGGGGAAAGAATGAAACTTTTATCTGGCAAGTGCTTTCAAAAAGCGAAAGCGGCTGTTGGGAGCCGCTCAAGGGGCTGGAATGCTGGAGACGGTTCCAGGGGGATGGATCAGCCATCAGAGTGCATAGGAGGCAGGCAGGGATTTTTAATAAAATGCAGTTTATTGCATGGTGATTACCACCTCCTATTTATACCGTATGAGATCATGAAAAACACGGCATGTATGTCGTTACTCCTGGAAACACAAAATCAACTGAACAACCATGTGTTAAATTGGCCCTTTTCATGCACTTTTACTTTGTCTTTCTAACCCTCCGTTTCCAAACATCTGTCACTTAAGATAAATCAAGCAATAAAAATCTACTAGAAAAATACTGTGATACCCCCCATCTGCCCCCCCCCAAAAAAGCCAACCCCATCGTAGATTAGGATTATGAGTCAAATTCCAGGGCTGTTCCATTTAACATGTAAATCTTAATCATCCACAAGGAAGCACAACCACTTGAAGCATGTTACGCGTGAGAACAGGAACTCCAGGGTCTCCAGAAAATGCATCCTCTATTTCTAACCTTCGTTGGTTACACACAACGGGCGTTAAAGACACAGCACGCTAAGATATAAAGAAAAAAGTACTTCAGGTAAGCTTTTATGCCTTAACGAGCACGCCTTTCCCCGCTCCCCCTCAAACGCAGTTTGAAGGCGAAAGGCTCAGAGAGAGGAAATACCGCATTATTTCCATGGTACGATTCTGCAGTCGAATTCGGGATAATACGGTAAAAAGACTTCATCAGCGCTCTTTCAGAATGACTTGTCTAACTTGCTCATAGCTTTGCCAGTTATGAGTAATGCAACAATCACTTAAGATACACCAACACCACCTTTGTACCACATTTCTTTCGCACGTTGCCCGACGTCTACCAGACTCGGCCTCCTGGCAAGCAATCCCCCCCACCACCCCCCACCCCGTCTTTGGCCGAGCGATCCTCGCCGAGGCAGGCCCACGCAGCCTGCCAGGCACCGCACCTCCCACCTGCCCCTCACTTCATGGAAACGCGCCTTTTCGGTGGCGATGCTCTGCGACTGGTCTGAGGGCAGCAGACTTGCAGGGTGGCCGCTCAGCAAAATCTCCTGCCCCTAATCTTTTTCTTATTAACCTGATGGTTAACCATCCCCCCTCGACAGCGCAAATTAATAAATGCCGCAAGATAAGTTGTGCTGGGTGACACCCCACTATGGCGTCTGCACGGGACCGCGACTCCACCGTCATTAAAACCAGGTCTACACGTTGCCGGATCACCCAGGAGTACAAATTTAATTGGGATCGGACCAAGGGACGCGATCACGCTTCTGCTGAACGAGCCAGAGTGCGCGACACGGAGCCAACGCCAATTTGACGCTGGCCCCATGCCAGCCGCAGGGGTGCAGACGATACCTGATCCGGCTGGAGCTGTGCACAGCGATACCTGATCCGGCATAAAGTCTGCTAGCAGAAAGTTAACCTGTCAAAAACTTCTTGAATTAACTTGAGCAGGCAGCCTGAATGAATACCAGGTCAGCGCTTCGCATCACGCACCCACCCCATTTTTTGGGCCAATAACAGGAGTTGTACTGCTGGATTTTCTGTGTTTGCCAAACCACAGCCTAAAAGTCGACAGCGATGCTTATGTGCGCAGGGATCTCGCTGCGGGATCAGGGCCTAGCAGTCCTTCAGCTTGCGTTGCCTCCGACTCAAAGCAAAAAGGAAAGAAAAAAGCAGAACGAAATCTAAACGTTTAACCTCCAAGTAATCAACAGAGCCTGCTGATACGGAGCCTGTAGGTGAAGATGGAGCCATGGGCGTTTCTGTAGCAGATAAATTTAGATGATGATTAAAATAGAGCCTATTCCTTCAGGTTAGTGAAAGTCTCGGTGCAGCAAACACGTCAGCAACTAGGCCGATTTTAGCAGCATTTTAGTAATCCAAACAGTATTAAAAATGCGCCCTGTCGCATTGAACAAATGTGAACTTTCTTTCTTTCTTTACAGCCCTTTGGCACAGAAGGGCAGTCCTGCTCTTTTGAAACTGTTTTCAAAAGCCTTACCTGATCTCTGGTAGAACTTAACCCATTTTTAACGCTGCTGCAATAGTGCCCGGTGTTGAAACCTGCACAGCTACCCATTACACAAGGCGACAGACACACAGGAAACATGGACTTCAAACACTCTGCCTTGAAATTGAGGGAAATCCCCAGAAATGGCTCAGTTTAGGCGAGTACTTCAACTATTTTCAGAGCTAGTTCAGGAAGACCATTCGCTGAAAGCCACTGTCAGAAGTTTTTCCATTTCCCATCACGGAGGCCCTAGAACGGTCCGCCCCGAGGTCTAGCAACCTTGACAGTTACCCACATCTCCAAGCTGTTTACAGCCATGCCCCTATCGCTCCAGC